TGATTTATGCCATTTATAATGTTAGTACTCTCTCCTTCTCTCTCTCATCTCATGCTAAATCTTACACTTGAGTGTGGTTTTTAAAAAAGGTCACCCCATCATATTTCCCCTTTTTGGTTGAGATTCATTATTTTAGCTAATGAGGATGATCCTGAAACCGGATTCTATAACCCACTATATGAATCTTTGTGTTATACACAGACTAAGTAAGTGCTCAGCATACAGATATTTGTAAAAATGCACTTAACTGAAACAGAACCCCAAAGAGAAATCCTTAGCTGTCCAGTCCACATACAGCATCTAGTTTTTCAGCTAGTTCAGGGTTCACCAAGTATTGCTCTCCAGCTATGTTTCTTCATATTATCCATAAAGCCATCATGAGAAATGTTCAGGACTTTGCTGGAGTCAAGCTGTCCTTTGTCTGGCATTCTCCAGGCTTCTAGGATCTGCCATTTCATCACTTGTGGGAGTAAGGCACAGGAAGCCATGAAGGACGGCTGCGCTGTTCTAGGTTGGGAGATGGGGAAGTATGGTGTGTGACAGTGCCATTCACTGAGCTACGAAGCCAGGGAGAAAGGGCTGACTTAGGGTTGTTTCATCCTGGGGGAGGGAGAGCTGTGGGGCTTGTGACAGGTGGACTGTCAGGAGGGAGGGATGTATAACCAGGCAGCGGGCTGTAGCATGCAGAGAGGAGGTTCTAGGTGAGAGGAGGTAGTGAACGTTGTCAAATTATGAGAGTTCGTGGCTGATAGCCTTCATTTTCTTGGCGAAACTATGTAGAGAAGCCTCTCTATTATAAGGGATAACTGGAGATTTGCTGGCAGTGAGTATCTGGAATGGATGTGGGAAACAGGGAAGGGAGCTTACCCGGGATGGAAAAGGAATGCTAAGCATGAGTGAAGCTTTGTTCTCAGCTTCCTTCTGCCCTGCTGGTCTTAAAGACAAACACACAGCCCTACCCTATGCCCCCTAAAGGGTTTTTACCACTAAACATGATGGCAGTGGGCTTGTGTGTCTGAATGGAAATGGCTTTGGTGATTCAAACATACTCCCTCAGTGGTCCTTGTATTTACAAATGAATAGTGGATTGGGAGAATTGAGAGTCAAGTTGTGATTGGGAGAGGAAGAGTTGGTTCTAAACACTCTTCCTAGAAGTGAATCTTTTCGGCTTCAGCCTCAAAGTACCTGGTTGGGATTTCGAAGATCTGGGGCGATGGCTCAGGTGATAAGGTTCTTAACAGGCTAGTTGGGGGACCTAAATTCAATCCTCAGAACCGCCCCCCCCTTAAAAAAAAAAAAAAAAGCCAGGTGAGGTGGTGAGTGCAGAAGTCTCAGTGCTGGGGAGGCAGAGACAGGCAGATTCCCCAATTCCCCAAGGCTCACTGGCCAGCCAGAGTAGCCTACTTGGGTGAGGTCTAGGCCAATGAAAGACCCTGTCTCAAAGCATGCACATGCACATGCATACACACACAGAAGATATCCTCTTCCCTTTTATTGTCTTTTATTTAAGAGTCATTGAATACCTTTAGATATCTCTTCACTGTGTGCTATCTCTGCTGAGTATTGTTCCCTAGAGAGCAAGGAGCATCCTTAGCATCCTGAACTTTAGGGTTTTCTATCTATCTTTCCTCTCTACTGGCTCACAAACATGTCTCCGTTTACTATTGCAAACATTTGCGCTATTTACAAGGCCCTGCCTCTCGGAATGCTTGTTCTCCTGGAAGAGGAGGGCTTTTGTGGTGGAGGGTGGAGGTCTGAGCTCTGAACTTTATGTTCTCTGCTGCCACAAGCTTCAGTGAATGTTTATGGAATCTTATGAGAAAAAGACAAGCCAGCATTCAGCAGGACAATGGAAGTTCTTTTGTTGTCCACAGTTCCTGTGAATAAAGACAGCTAATTATATGGTAGAGTTTGTTCCTCAACAGTCTCTTAAATTTCCCATATCTGTTCCAGCTGCTCTTTTCTGGGACACAAGGCTCCCAGCCTTGGCCAGCTGCTGGCCACACGAGACGTGTATGAATGAGGCTTAATGCGTCTCCACTCTTGCTGTGATTTCCTGTGCCTAGTGATTGCCAAGCCCTCAAAGGCCCTTTATCTAGGTTAATATGGGGCATCATTTGCTTTACCCATTTTTACCATTTGATGTATGATTCAGGCACCTGTAGTGAATGAACAGGAGCAACTGCTGCTCCCAGGAGCCTTGGTTTTCTGGGGGAAATTTGTAACTATCTCTAGATTATGCCTAGATTTGGCATGACTGATTAAGCAACCAGCTGCTTACTAAGAAGAGGAGCTGAGAGAACAATTTAATTAGCTTCTGTTTTGAGCCTTTCATTGAAGCCAAGGCTTGAATATATGGCATTCTTTATTTAGTTTTAAATATTTTATTTATTATTTTTTAATTTTATGTGTATGCATGTATTGCCTGCATGTAAGTGCACCCGTGTCGTGCAGTGCCCCTGGAGGTCAGAAGAGGCTGTTGGATCCCCTGGAACTGGAGTTACGGACAGTTCTTAGCTGCCATGTGGGTGTTGGGATTCGAACCCAGGTCTTCTGCAAGAACAGTCTGTGTTCTTAACTGCTGAGCCACCTCTCCAGCCCCTTTATTTAGTTTTAAATGAAACTTTTGTTTTTGCAAAGACAGATGTTCAACATAGACCCTAAAGGAAACTGAAAATAGGTCGGTTGAAAATATAAAATATTCATTTGCTATAACAAAGATTTCAGAAAAACTCGTGTTTTGGGGGGGCGGTTACGTTTCTTTAAAAAAAATTACATTTATTTATTTCGCGTGTATGTGGGCATGTGTGTCAAGGCATGTGTATGGAGGTTATTGGACAACTTGCCGGAGTTGGTTCCCTCCTCCTACGATGTGGGTCCCTGGGATCAAACAAGTCACTGGTCTTGGAGACAAGTACCTTTACCCACTGAACCATCTTACAGGCCCACAACGCATTTCTTAATGATGAATTGTTGGAGCGCTCTTTTTTAGTGTATTAGTTAACAACTCACAAACCTGATGATGTGTGGTATAAGTTTTATGACAACTTTTACGAAACATTCATGAAATTTTAACAAAATTTTAAGGAAAGTCTGCTGGCAGCCTGTGCTCCAGGGCCAGCAGGGAGCATGTAAAGCCTTCAGGCAAACCATCCTCTCATTTCAGCTTAAAATGATTATTGATTCCATTTTCTTTAATTAGCTACCCACCTGGGCTCCAGACCTCTATTTGCTTTAATTTCACAAAAGCATTTTCTCCTTCCATTTCTCATAATCAAATCATAACAATGTTTAATTTATGCACAAAACCTACTTCCATGTATTATTTGGTTCATAGTAAGCATAGGATAAAAGGCCACAAATTAAATTTTTTAATACCCAATACACACATGTTGAACTAAAAAAATATGAAGAGTAAATGAGCCATAAAGTTAACAGAGTCATACGGAAGAATAATTGCAATCTCAGTAATTTTACAAAGCACACACAGCAGAGAGGGAGGGAGGGAGAGAGAGAGAGAGAGAGAACTTCATTACAGACATATGAATTCTGTTATAGAGGCCCTGTGGGAGACTGATTCTTATTATGATATCCTGGTTGGCAGGGATTGAAGTGGGGTTATTGCTAGTGCAGGCAATGACTTGGTTTTTCTCCAGTGAATTGGCTTCAGTAGGTGACTTTATTTCTTCACATTAGGCAGCTTGGAAATATGTATTGATTCATTGCCTTCTCATTTGAGGCCTGGCTCTATCGAAGACAGAGGCGTAGAAAACAGTATACTGGATATAAGCAATGCCTTTGTGTATTTTTTTGTTTTTGTTTTTGTTTTTTGTCTGAATGTTCCTAAGATTTTTTTTTAGGAGCCGGGTAATGTTGAGTCCAATAAGATAGGAAACATACTTTGAGTGTGTGTATGCATGCGTATCACTATTTTTTCCACTAACTATCCTTAAAACCCAAAGCCCTAATTTTAAAAAAAATTGGTTTTTAAAGAGATAAAAATGGAGACTTTGGGGTCTAAGGAAATACATTAACATTACTACAAACATAAGTATTGAGCAGTGGTATGGTCCTCTTCTAAGATTTAATTCTTATAGTTTAAATTGTGTCTTAAATATTGTGTCTCACTATACAATTAGCTTTTACTTTTTAAATTATTTTTTGTTTGTTATTGCAGGCAACGTTCTATGGTTTGGGGCTTAAATGTTTGTTTTTTTGTTTTTGTTTTTTTCTTTTTGAGACTGGGTCTCCCTGTAGTCCCAGCTGGCCTGGAACTCACTATGTAGATCAGGTTGGCCTCACAGAGCTCCTCCTGCCTCTGCCTCCTACATGCTGGGATTAAAGGCGTGCACTGCCACTCCAGGCTACTGGGACTTAAATGTTTCTTAGAAATTATCCAACTGACTCAATTTATAGAGGAGAAAGTTGAGTCAGAGAAGTCAGGTAACTTGTCTAAATATAAAAATAATGTTAGAATACTTTCAGTTTAGTCATTGTAATATCCTCTTAATGTTAAACTCTTAAGATTTAGATACTTTTGAATATCATGATGTTAAAATGTTTTCTGAAATTTATAATAGTGAAATCTTTAAGGCAACAGCTTTTTCCTTTATTTTAAATAACAAATGTAAGACACGTGACAGGGTAAAGAAACAGAAAAGGCTGAAAAAGTTTGATTTCTTACATTTAAAAAATATTTCTTATGTTCTTATACTCCTGTTAAAAATACTAAAAGCATTATGGCAGCTACAAACTGTCCTTAACTCCAGTTCCAGGGGAATCCGAAGCCCTCTTCTGACCTCCGCAGCATTGCACTCACATACATGCAGTACATGAGTGCACTCACATACATGCAGGCAATACACTCATACATATAAAATAATAAAAATAATAACTAAAATAAAAAATACCAAAAGTAGAAATGAATATTCTTTAAAGTTAAAAAAATAACGTGGGCTTATTGTGAGGTAGCAATTTACAGCCACCATTTTTCTTAACAGGTTGAAGAATTATGGAAGCCAGCACCACGCTGACCATCGGCACTGTTTGTAGCAGTTTTTTCACCTTTCAGATTCTTTTCCACTTTGTAAGTTACCGGTTTTCAGCAAAAGTTTCTTCTGGTTTTAATAATCTTGGCATCGAAAAGAAGATTGAATGGAACTCAAGGTAAAGCTACGAAATGTAATTGACTTAAAAATTATTTTATGGAGCTGGAGAAATGGCCCAGTGGTTAAGAGCATGGACTTCTCTTGCAGAGGACCCATGTTTGGTTCCCAGCACCTATGTCCAGCAGCTCATAGATGCCTGTAACTCCAGTTCCTCTCAGGCACCTGCTCTTACATGCACACACCCACACACAGGCATATACACATACACATAATTAAAAATGATAAATCTAAAAACATGTTTTATGAGGTAAAATTATTTAAATTTTCAAAAGTTGCTGGGCATGGTGGTGCATGTCTTTAATCCCAGCACTTGGGAGGCAGAGGCAGGAGGATCTCTGTGAGTTCTCTGTGAGGCCAGCCTGGTCTGCATAGTGAGTTCCAGGCTTGACTTCAGAAATAAAAGAAAGACAAGAAGATAGATAGATCTCATGCAAGAAAAAAAAGTTTAAAAATTCTTATATCAAAAGATGTTAGGAGAGCCAGGTATCCCATACCTTTAGTCCCAGATCTTGGGAAGCAGAGGCAGGTGGATTTCTATGAGACCAAGCCCAGCCTGTTCTACATAGCAAGTTCCAGGCCAGTTGGGGTTACAGGAACAAAAAACAAAAGAAAAAAGAAAAGAAAAAATGTTAGGATCCAGGTATAGTAGCACACACTTTTAATCTCAGCACACAAGAAGCGGAGACAGGCAGATCTCTTGTGAGTTCAAGGCCAGCCCAGTCTACAAAGCAGGTTCCAGGCCAGCCAGGATTACATAGTAAGACCCCGTCTCAATACCACACTCACACCCACCCACCCCCACAGTTAGGAAAATCTATTTTACTTTCTGAATAAGTTTGAGAAGATTAAGTAGACTCCAGCTGACTGTGGAAATATTTTGTTTTGCAACCTTCTCTGAAATATTTATAACACATTCTTTGGGAATGATAACAAAAGAAAACATTTCTTGGAGTTGTAAATAGCTCATATGTAGCATTTGTTGACTTAGCCAGACAAAGTGCTGTTGAACTGCACAGTGTACAATCTGTGCCTTTTCACGAACTTCTCATTATAATTTAGTCTTCCAGATTTATTCCCTTGTTACAGAATTTGAAAGCAAAATTCACCTTTTACATTAAAGTAAAAATGGAGACAGATTCAGTGTGCGGAGGCTTTAGTGATGGCTCACTGCTAAAGTGCTTGCTGTGCAAGTGTGAGGACGGTTTGGGTCCCCAGCTCCCGTGTAAAGGCGTGACTCGGCAGATGCACCTGTAGCCCCATGCTGAAGGAACAAACACAGAACTCAGTGGCCAGTCAGCCTCGACCATCTGTGAGTTCCAGGTTCAGTGTTACCCTGTCTAAAAAATGAAGTGAAGAGTGATAGTGGAAGACACCTGATGTAGACTTCTGGCCTCCACACACATGCATGCTCACATGTACACATGAACACATACGCACATCACACATACATACACACTAAGAAAGAAAAAAAGAAAGAAAAAGTAGTATATGAGTGAAGAAACCTAGGGTTTTCTCAAAGTGGTTGCAGGTTTTTTTGGGTGCAGTTTCTGAATGACGAGGTTTCAAGAACAAGATGACTGTGACTGCTCCTCTTACTTCAGAGCGTCGTTTGTGTCCAAACAGTGCAGCAGCTGTGGGAAGGTTTGGTGTTATTCTTCCTTAGCTGAAGTTAATAATAACTATAAAATATATTTAGCAAGTTTCTAAAATTGCTGTAATTATTCTTTATTGAGATTCAAGAATTTCAGTTGCCTGTGGTGGCACATGCCTTCAATCCCAGTGCTCCAAATCTCTGAGATTGACGCCAGCCTGATATATCTATATAGTGAGTTCCAGGCCACCCTGGTCTATATAATCATTCCCTGGCCAACTGGGGCTACAGAAGAGACCTTGTCTCAAAAACCAAAACAAAACAAAATTTCTGTCAACCTTATTTATTTATTTTGAGGGACAGGGTCTCATGTAGCCAAGGATGATTTTGGGCTTCCATCCTTGTAGCTCTGTCTTGAAGGTATTAGGATTATAGGCCTGTGTCATCATGCCTGGATTATGGAGTGTTGGGATCAAACCCAAAGCTTCATGCATGCTAGTCAACTGGTATTATTGATTTATTTGAGAAAAGTCATTTGATCCGAAATCCCCTGGTTTGTTTGTTTGTTTGTTTGTTTGTTTGTTTGTTTTTGGTCTTTTTGAGACAAGGTCTCCCTATAGCATCAGCTGGCCTGGAACTCACTATATAGAACAGTCTGGCCTTGAATGCACAGAAATAAGCCTGCCTCTGCCTCCAGTGCTGGGATCAAAGGTATGTGCCATCACACCTGGCTGTTTGCTTGTTTGAGTCAAACTTTTATAAGCATTCACTTTTATAACTTAGACTGTGACTAAAACTCCAGTTTTCTTTTACACTTTATCCTGTGGTGTCTGATTAAGATGTACTATGGTTCTTTTCACCTAAAATGCAAGGATGATGATGATGATGATGATGATGATGATGATTATTATTATTATTATTATTATTTCTCCACCAGGGTTATTGCTCAATTCTAACATTTAAATATAGAATTACAGGGAAGAGAAGTGGGAGAGATGTAGATTCTCTGAGTAAATTTGGAACTATTTTCATTTCCCTTTCAGTGTAGTTAGAATCTGTCAAAGCTTTTGAATCGTGGGTAGCTGCAAGCCTAAGAGATAGGGGGCGCAAAGACGGAACAGGGATGCAAACAGAAGGCTGAAACTGAAAGCAGCTTGGCATCACTCAGTCCTATCAGTGCCGGTCCACAGTGCAGGAAGTCACCATGGAGGAAACTCAGTTCCTATTTGAAGAGGGACTCTGGCCTCAGAAGACGCGTTTAGCTCTTCAAATGCTGTGTTTTCCCTCTCGCTGGCTCTGCTTTTCTCTCAGGCTTGTATACGTGGAACTTAGAGGTAGAGCGCAAAGTAGGGGAAGAGGCTAATTTTTTTCAAAGTAAAGTACATACTTATGTCTTAAAACTCAGCTTCCAGTCTTGAAATACATTCCAGTATAACATACGTTGTTCTTCTTGTAACTGGAAGAAGGAATGAACGAGTTAATCTAAGCTGTCCAGTAGGAAGAGAACAGGGGAAGAAATCCTGGAGAATGAACACTTGAGAGGTCATAGTTTAGAAGGGAGAAACTTTGGTAGTTATTGCTTTTTTCTGAAGATAAGCATACTTAGAAATATCTAGATCATTCAGGTTTTTTTCCTGCATTATTTCTATTCAGTTATTCTCCTCTGACATAGATAACTCTGTTGTGTTGAAATATTACTAGATTTAAATTTTATTTCTTCAAAATTTAATTCTCAATTGTTATAGCTATGTAATGTATATTTGAAATACTGATACCATTTGTTATTCATTAAAATAAGGAACTTTATATTTGCTATTTGAGAGCCAGGCGTGGTTGCACATGCCTTTAATCCCAGCCTGGTCTACATATGGAGGGCTACATTGTGAAACTTTGTCTCAAAAAAATTTACTATTTGAAAATGGTTTATCATTACCTTGCAAAAGTGCTCTATCTCTGTACACGCATTTTAAACTTATTGTTACTTTATTGAATTTTTGTGAATACTCTCCCCTATCTGCACTCCTTTGTTACCCCCCCCCACCAGATTTCAGGCTTATCAAGGTTTATCAAGTCGAATTTGTGTTCCCAAATGTCCTTTGGTGTGGGTCCATCCACTGAAGCCCAGATACCCTACTTAGCCTCACACCCTTAAAGAAAACTGACTCTCCTTTTCCCAGCAATTGCCAGTTGTTCTCAGGTACGGCTGGGGCTTCTTACCCACTTCCCCATTTCTGTGCTGGAATTTGGTCTGACTTGAGCTTATGCATATTATGTCACCTTTGCTGTGAGTTCATATGGGTAAACTACTCGGCTGTCTGGAAAACTATTTCCTTGTGGTCATCCACCACCTCTAGCTCTTATAATCTTTCTGCCCCTTCTTCCACAATGACCCCTGAACCTTGGGAAGCAGAGGTGTAAATGTATTTCTTTTTTGAAAAAAAAATTGAAATATTTTCTTTTTAGATACTGTTTTTGTTTACATTTTTGTTTTGCCAGGAGAATGATTTTAAAGAATACCATATGAGAGCTGGGCATGGTGGCACACGCTTTAATCCCAGCACCCCAGAGGCAGAGACAAGCAAATCTCTGTGATACTGAGGCCAGCCTGGTTTACATAGTGAGTTCCACTCCAACTGAGGCTACAGGGAGATGCTGTTTCAGAAAGAAAAAACAAAAGCTGCTTATGCAGAGGACCTGGGTTTGGTTCCCAGCACCCACATGGTGGGGTAACAACCATCAGTAACTTGAGTTTCAGGAAGTCTGCCCTCTTCTGACCTCCCTGGGCATTACATGACATGGGTGCACTTACATACATGCAGGCAATATATTCATGCACATAAAATAAAAATAATAAAAAATATATTAAAGTACAGAATGAGATGATATACAGAGAGAGAGAGGAAGGTTAATGGTTAATCGGGACAGTGTTGACTGAGGTTAAGAACCAAAAGATAAAGCGGCAGCTCTTACCTTCCTTTCCATCTCTTCCCTTCCTTTTCTTCCCTCCTTACTAACAGACACTTTTACAAGTACAGACTTAGTATTGTTGCTGTTATTTGGGATATTTAGGACAGGATCTCAAGTAGGCCAGATTGGTCTGAAACTCATGCAGCTGAGAATAGCCTTTAAATCCTATTCTCCTTCCTCTACCTCACAAGTACAGTCACTACACCCAGCTGTATAAATGAAGACTTAATAGAGATTAATGGGTAGTTCAAAGAATTTGCTTTTCCATTTCCTTTCATAGTGAGATCTTTGGACCACACCAAATAACTGATGAATTTTGTCATTTCTATCATCTTGAGAGATTATCATACTTTTATTTATCATTTATCACCTCAATTAAGATTAACACTTGAGACCTATGTGTTAGAAATAAAATTTTTTTAAAATTAGATTTTTTTCCC